AGAGCTTTCGGTGTTGGTAATGTGCATTGGGAACAGCCAGAGTTACAGAATTTCTTGTAGGGTGGGTTTTTGTTTTACTTCTTGAATTTTTTTTTCCCCTACCATAGAGCATCTCAAGGAATTAGAGTTCCACAGAACACACTTTGGGGAAAGTTTGGTGGACAGATGATTGCTCAGGCCCCTGTCATCAGCTTTAAGAATATCAGTTGTAGAAACAAAAGGCTAGTGAATAATTGTCCAAAGCTAGTTGTCTAAACCGTTGCTACTCGAAGTGTGGTCTGTGGAACAGGGAGTTTGTTACAAGCGTAGACTCTTAGGCCCCAACCCAGACCTACTGGAAAAGAGGAAACATTTTTAACAAGATCTGCTGGTGATTCATATGCATATTAAAGTTTGGGAAGCGCTGGTCTAAAGAAAGTCAGCCTTTTCACTGGATGGTTGGTGATTTTCTGCTGAGATCTACAGGCTGATGTGTCCTTCCTGAACACATCCAGGCCAAGGGACGTTGGCATGAGGGTGTCTGCTGGGCAGCTGGTCATCTCTTATCTCCAGTGAGGTTTCTCAGAGTCAAGGAGGACGGCTCTGAGGCTGAAATCAGGAGCCCGTTACAGTAGTGCTAGAAGCTCTTGGAAGCATTGCTGAGCTTTGCTCTGTGCTTGTGCCGATTTCAAATCTTATTAAGCCAGGAAGTAGTGCCTGGCAAATGGTTTATCCTGCCTTGGCTATTCATGCTTCCCAATTCATTTTTATTGTGCTAATTAAACCTCAAGTGATATTTCAAGTACAGATTGTTTTTTCCATTATTGAATCTTTGGCCAGCATATTAATGCTGTAGAATTAACGTGAGTCAGATGCTTACTCATTTGTGGAAGACTTTACATTTCAAAGATCTAGACTTGGCCAATTTTGCACAGATTCCTTTGGAAACTGCTATGACAGGGTGATACAATTTCTCTATAAATAAAGGAGACTTGCTCTTCTCTCACAAATAGACACGTAATTATTTTTTAAATGAACTAAATTCCTAGATCATGAATATGTATTGGTATTTATTATGGTCTGTGCTAAAATGGATATATGCGGTCTGAGGAGGTAGTATGTGTAGCAGTGAAGACCCTGAGCTTTGGGTTCAAATCCCAGGACTACAGGTACTTGGGGAAGTTTGGAAGATGTATTTTCCTTTTCCAAAATTCATATTCTTCATTAGCTGAAAGAGGGAAAAATACTTAACTTCAAAATTGGTTGTAAGGATTAAATAAAACAATAAAGTACTAGGCAAGAGTGTCTGGGTCAGTGAATGCCCAATAAGTGCTATTACTATTACTGTAATTAAGCAGCTATTTTTAGAATTGTTAGTCATATAAGTTTAGGCTTGAAGAAAAAAAAAACTACGTTAGATTTCATAGGGGAAATTAAGACTATGGCATAGCAGTCTCTACTGAGCATCTTTTTATTTTAACCTTTTTCTGCTCAGAATTTCCAAATTATTAGATATGTTTATAAAAGGTAGGAAATTCATCCTGTAGGTTTGTACTTGAGGTGACAAGAGGGATGTCTCCAGGCTCCATTGGTGGAGTCTGGCAGAGGAAGGAGTCATACCTTAAAAGTAAGCACCATGGTAGGCATTGGCCCCGTGGTCCCTCCGGAATCAGCAGATAAATCTATAAGTAAAAGAAAATGGGAGAGGAGTCGACGAGCACACAGAGTTGCGATCTGGAGAAGAGAAGGATGAGTAGCAATTAACTCAAAGGCTGAGCATGCTGGCTAGCAAGTTGTCAAGGGGACAGGGCAAGGGGAAAGTGAGTTTATATTGCCGAACTACCACAAGGCTCAGGAGGTGAGAGTACAGGTAACATCAAATACAGGAGATGTGTTGAAAGTCTGTTAAGAAGCACTTGATCCCATTTTCATCCCATACATCCCGAGTGACTCTATCCTTCTAAGCAGAAAACTGGAGGTTTATTCTCAAGAGAAGATAAAGCAAAAGTCATGAGACACTCCAGACAGAGTTGAGGCTGTGAGAACCATAAGAAAATGATAGGTTTATATACCAAATATTGATATTTCCAGGCTTCTTCCTCTTCCAAGCAGGACCCTTGAAGAACATTACCTGAATAATTTGACCAGTCTCTTCCCCAAAATGATTTAATAATACTGAGATCAGGGGATACCTTGTAAGGACGCCAATAATATTGCCCTACAACAAAGCTGACAGTTAATAAATACACAGTGCTTCATTCTCATGGATGTGTGAATGGCCAAGGATCACCAACTGTTTGAGAAAAGCTTATGATATGGAAGACCAACCAAAACAACCAAAGAGAAAGAAAAAAAAATGGTTACAAGAAACAAAGATGATATAGAGAGAAGAAAAATGCAAAAGAATGATCATTAATATCTCATAGAGATCAGAAGAGATATTGCACCCATGAAAGAAATTCAGGGTGCTATAAAAAATAAAAGACCATTCAGGAACAAACAAATAAGCTTGGAAACTAAGAATATGACAGAGGAATTCAAACCTTAAAAGAAGATTTGAAAGGTGAATCAGAGGAAATCTCCCTATAAATAGACCAAATAGACAAAAAAGATGGAAAATAGGAGAGAAAAGATTAAAAAACTTGATGAGATATCCAGAAAGTCCCACATCCATATAACAGGGGCCCTAAGTGGTATAAAAGCATTGCAAAATAGTTGAATTGGCATTGTTTGTTTGTTTTTCTTTCTTAGTGGTACATATCATGGTGCTGCATCTTGTAGTTAATGCTGTCTTAAATTTGATAAAATGATGACTATTACATACAATGGTTCCACCGTCAATAGGGTTTATATATTCATAATAAACTTTATATCTACATCTAGACAACATAACTTCATAGAATATGGAAAGATATGAAGACAGAGCATGTTGAGTGTGGCTTGGGCAAGCGTGGAGGGCTAGTCTGTGTGAATGTCAGCCTAGTCCTCATCTCATGATGGAAGGTCAGTAGATAATGTTAGAACATAAAAATCAAGAAATAGCAATATAAGCATGATCTTTAGTGATATAGAGACCAATACTCAAAAAAGAAGTTAAAAGAGATGGAATGAGTGCCTCTGGAGAATAGGAAATAGTGCCACACGGGTGAAGTGAGACTACTGTTTTTCATACATTAGTTTGAATATTTTTCATAACAAGTTTTTTAGATTTATAGACTCTTGAAACTATGTGACTATCCATTTTGATTTAAAAGAAAAACAAAATTAACAATATATTTATAAAAAGTCACCTAGATCATACCACTGACTTCAAGAAGATTTTTCATTAAGTAGCCACCTTTCTTATATCTTGCCTCAACATACTTTTTAATAAATTGAAAAGTTTAATTGACACAGAAGTTGTCACCAAATATTAGAACGGGAAGACATTAGAGCTAGATCTTCCAACTGAACAGCTTAATTCTATAGAGAAGAAAATACTTTGAGAGAGGAGAAATGACTCACCGAAGGCAACATAGTACCAGCTGGGTTTAGGGTCTAGGGCTCCTGACTCCGGAGCCAGTGCTCATTCCTCTTAACTGCGCTGCCTCTGCATCAGTCATATATGTTTCATAGTCTTGTATATCTCAGAGTATTAGGGGCCTTTTTGAAACTCTGTGAAAGACATAACATTGCTCTCTATTGGATGCTGACAGGAAGGAAGTGTTCTGATGAGGCCAAATCAGCCACTGAAAGCCAGATCTTGTTGGGAAGTCCTCTATCAATGTTGGGGATACCATGAGACATATGCTGTATAAATCTTGTTCCAGTCTGGTTTTAGTAATAAAGAATAATGGCTTTGTCTGTTAAGGACTGTGTCGTAAGAGCAGGGTTTATGGATAGTATTGTGAAGATGGTGGATCAGATACCACTATGTGGGTGGGTTAATTGCAATTTAACAGCTCTTGAAGATAGACTGCCTTTTCTGACCTCTGGGTTACTCCGGAGTTAATGATGTGTCATAGTTCCGTGGGACACGGCTGTCCTGGTGAATGCAGTCCTAAGCAGAGTTCCTGGTACCAAGCGAGACACTGGCTTCACTGGCAGAACCTGACATATCTTTCTACCCTCTGAGACCTGCCTTCATGTGAAAAATATTATGAGTCCCCTGCCGTTTAAAGCAGCGTAAAGACCCAGTAGGTGTGAGAGTTTAACAAAGTGATAGCAGCATCAATTAAAAGAAAGCTAGCTTTTGAAATGGAGAAGTAGAAAAATGATGCTCTTCTCAAATATTAAAAAAATGTTTATGAGGTTCACAATTTCATCTAACAAATACTTTCTCAGGGTTTTTCCAAAAAAATAACTTTCCATTGGAATAAGGATCTACGTAACTCTTTTCATGATATCATCAATAGGATCACCAATTTTCCCCATGATATTTAACTGTGATTTATATAGCTTTGAAATGTTAGAATGCTGTGACAATTCAAGCTTCATGTCTTTGAAAAAGGCTTTGAAACTACATTTTCTTCCATAGTCTGACTTTGACTTCTTCAAATTCTAGGTCTGATAATGGGTTAGATTTATGAGTTACTTAATGAACAAAATGGATTTATGCAAACATGTAGATCCTTCTCATCCTTTGTCCTTGACTATAAAAAAGTGGTGGGGAGGAGATGGGGAGTTAAGACGGTCTTCAAATACCATGCCAATTTATGTGCAAACAAATAGATTGGTAACTGTAGAACAGAAAAAGAGGTGGAAGAGAGTTCTATAAATGTGTTTTTTTAAATAAAAAGTTTTTCTGCAGTATTTTCAAGAAATGTGCAAAACTAATTTTCAGATCTTATTACTGCCTATTTTGGGTTAACATTAAATCTGTAAAATGTATCAACCTGGCACTTTTTCAGATCAACATAAATCAGTCTCAGAAAGTAAATAGCTATTGATTTTAAAGCATAAAGTATTCAATTTATTGCTCGTATTCTGATCATGCATTTCACTATCTGTATGTGTCTCCATTGACTTTTCTTGTTCCACAGGTTTGCCATCAGCAAATCTGGCTGCACCTAACCTCACTGTGGAGGAAGGAAAGTCTGTCACATTATCTTGCAGTGTCGCAGGCGACCCAGTTCCGAATTTGTACTGGGATGTTGGTAATCTGGTTTCCAAACATATGGTAAGGCTGTGTTTGCCTCTGAGTTCCTAGAGGGACGAGACTGTGTCAGAACTTGAGATGGTGTTAACCTAGTGATGATCATTTAATATTTTATAGGGCCACAGAGAGAAATTTATGATGAGCTTTTGATGTATATTTATTTTCAATTTATTCTTAATTAATAAAGACTAACATTTTAGTTATGATACCCAATACATTGGAGAGTCTCTATGTCCCTAGAGCGCTTTTTGTGTCATCGTGAGCAAGGTGAGTGACTCTCCTTGAGGTCTTTTCCCTTGGAGGAAGGTGGGTAGGAAGGCAAGGATTAAGTCAACTTCACACATTAAGCAACTGAAATCTAGAGAAATAGAATCACTTGTGATTTCCTCGTTTTTCCTGAGCCCGATTAGGCCAAATCCTTTCCTAAAGTTATAGATCACTTTCTCTAGTTAGGTAAAGAAATCCCAAATCTTGTTACTTTGAGATCAATCCTAATAAAAATTATTTTTGTCTGTTAATTCGTTTGTAGAATGAAACAAGCCACACGCAGGGTTCCTTAAGGATAACTAACATTTCATCTGATGACAGTGGAAAGCAAATCTCTTGTGTGGCAGAAAATCTTGTAGGAGAAGATCAAGATTCTGTCAACCTCACTGTACATTGTACGTAATCAGACCGGCATGTGTTTTTCATAGCAAATGATCGTGGACACACCTACATTTGTCGTTGGGGCACTCTGGGTGCTGTTTAAGTGTGTTAAAAAAGTAAATGCAGTGTTTTATGCGTACTTAATGCAGAAATGTTATCAGCCTCTCTCACTGTTCTATTTCTGCTAATCTCTCTTGCTCATGTGTTGTCTTTCTTTTAAGCTTCTTTTTCAATCTTAAGCTTGTCCTCTTTTGCCTTCCTCTGTCTTTTTTTGATAGAACTTATTTTGAGCTGGTTATCCTTCTCTTGTTAATAAGTTTTGGTTTAAATTTCTGATAAATCAGTTTCTAAATTTTTTTTTCTGTATAAGAGCAATGTGAAGGTTTCAAGTTGTAATACCCAAAGTTTGGGCTGGCTCGTCACCAACACCCCTTGTACTGTTATAACAATAAAACCTCATTAGTTTGACATTAAATTTCCCTGGGAAGGTTGGAGGAGTCCTACTTAAATTATTGAAAATTATTATCTCCTGCAGAAAACTTTTATTATTATAATTGTTTTAAATTTCTGTATATGTTGAAACTAAGATATAGGATATTAATGCTTCTGAACATGCACATGCATTATTTTCCAGTATTATAAATAACATGACATATACCTCAGCATTCCAGATTGTGGCGTTCAGTGTGAATGTGCAGTTGGTAAAAATCACATGCACGCTTCACATCATGGCAAATTCTGAGCTGGCATGGTATAAATTAATGAGGTTTTACTAGGTTTGAGTGAGAAAAACACGAGTGTGCCTGTGTGTAAGTACAATTACACATTATGCACATGTAGACACAAGGTGTCAATACACTGGTTAACATTCACTCATAGCACAATTCAGTATGTGATTGTTGGAGTGAATGACTAAGTCACCAACCGCCATCCTTTGTCACTGTCAATATTGCCACAATACTCAGTAGGTACGGGCCTCATAATTTCTCATCATCATGACCCACCCAGAAGCCTGAGGTTAATTCTATTCCCAAACATTTGCAACCAGCTTCCAACTTTACGTCCTTACATCAACGCATCACCAAGAGCTCATTTGAGCATGGTGCAAGGAATAGGTGGGTCCCGGGCATGGGGGCCTGGGCAGTGGGAGGAAGGTAAGTGTGCTCCCTGCCCCACTGTGGTCCTTGTGTTTGTAACACAGACCTACAAATAAGGACACTCAAATTCAAAATTTTCTCAGTTTAGGTTAATATCTATGTGGTCACCATGGTCTGAAGAATTGACCTTATTTATCAAAGTTTACATAAAGAATAGAAGGAATAAGTGATAAAGAACATTAACAACTGAGGTAACCCTTGCAGTGACCCCGTTCAGAGTATATTTCTTAGCAGTGTATTTGTTTTCCCCCTTCCTGTGATGAACACACACAACTAGGAGGCAGTGCATCTGAGGGCAGGCTCCCGGGTTAGGGGTCAGGAGAACCGGATTCCTGCTCCAGATCAGCCTCTCACAATAACTTAGACCAAGTCACTCACCCTTATTGGGTAATTGACTATCTATTTTGATATCTAATTATCAAAGTTAGACCTCATTAAAATAAACAATTATGAGGGATTTTTAAATACCTTCACTCAGGATAAATACTCTGTTTAGAGATGCTACTTGATAGTGTTTGTTCCCCCAAAGCATAAAGTGCTTTGTATTTAATATTAAAATAATCTCTAATTTGTTTGTCCAGGGTTTAGATAGGACCCCAGACATTTAAAGGATAAAAGCACTGACATCTGAAATCCTAGCAAAAATGGCTGTATTATAATGAAATGTGATGCTTTTAAAGAACATTTACTATTGAGAGTGAAAAATATGAATTCATCACATTTTATAATAATCAATCAGCATGGATAGCAACATTCACTGCATTGATCAGTTTAATCTGTTTTAGATATTATGTGAGATCAGGGCTTCAGACAAGAATACCAAAGTCATTTTTGTCATTATTTGTATTATTTAGTGACCTCCTGTAAAAATAGTGGTCCTAAATGTTTTGGTGATGAATCTACAAGATTTCAAGGCATATATATTAGAAACCAAAGTCGACTTTAAATGAACCTTTTCCACTGTCAGAAATCTCTGGGATCTGTTTGGAGCTGGTTCCCATGCTGAATAGATTTGAAAAATGACTGTGATGCATGAGTCTTAAGTAGAGCAGAGAAAAGAGTCTCTCTTCAGCTCTCTGTGGGGAGTTAAATCAACCTGGATGATGTTACAAAATATTGATGGATTCCAGAGTTGCTGGTCATGTGTTTCCTTAAACCAAACAATGGTTGAATAAAATCCCCTATCGATGACACAGAATCTGGAGACGGGAGAATTCTGAGCTTTCTGATGCTATTAACTCTTTCTTTTTCAATTTAGTTGCTCCAACTATCACATTTCTCGAATCTCCAACCTCAGACCACCACTGGTGCATTCCATTCACTGTGAAAGGCAACCCCAAACCAGCGCTTCAGTGGTTCTATAATGGGGCAATATTGAACGAGTCCAAATACATCTGCACTAAAATCCATGTTACCAATCACACGGAGTACCACGGCTGCCTCCAGCTGGACAATCCCACTCACATGAACAATGGGGACTACAAGTTAGTAGCCAAGAATGAGTATGGGAAGGATGAGAAACAGATTTCTGCTCACTTCATGGGCTGGCCTGGCATCGATGATGGTGAGTACCTGATGCTTTTGCATCTGGGGAGAGGATAGAGTATATCACTCAATTATTGACAAAATCACGTGTACAATAAACCACGCCAAACCCCAAGGGCTTAAAACACCATTATTTAGTCTTGTGCATGACTCCGTAGGTCAGCTGGGGTGGTTTTGTTCCACACATCTTTACTCTGTGGTGTGGGGTGAAAAAGCAGCAGCTACCCAGGAGGTCTGATTCTGATGGCGAGGGCAGAATGCAAGAGAACCACGAGAAATACGCAAGGCTTCTTAAGGCCTAGGTTCAGGGCTGGCACATGGTCTTTTCAGCCTCTATTCCATTGGCCAAAGCAAGTCACAGGGCCAAAGCGAAGTCCAGGGACAGGACTCATCCTCCTCCCAAGGAGGTAATGGGAGGGTGAATCATTTTGGACAATAATCTGTATACATATATTACTTTTGTCTCAAGTGTTTAATAAGATTTTCTACCCACAATGGCGAAGCCCTTGCAAAACTGTGAGCAGATGAACTGTGTTTGGTTGGCTCATGAACTACTTAAGATGTATTTTCTAGCCTCTTATCCATTTAGAGTCCAGAATCCTGCTCTCTCACCCATGGATGAGAAACCAGGGTCCTGGAATGTTTTGCTTAGCCGGGGGGACTGAGTCGAGATCTGATCCTGAATTGTTTTTCTAGAGTGATATAGTTCCCAGCTGATCGATGGTTTTCCTTGAGAAAGGATGGCTGGCATCAGGAGTCCATTTGGTGGCCAGGAGGAGAGTTTTAAGTGTGAGGGTCCCCCACTAACAGCAGGGACAATTATCATGCATCTACCTGCCTCAGATACTGTTGTTCAGTCGAGGATTCTTACTTGCTTGATCTTCTTGCCCATTGTGGAGGCTGACACTTGCGTTTGGATGTTGGGACCTGTACATGAGTAGAAGTCCTCTCTGCAATAGCTCTGAGTTAATCAAAGCCACACAAAGATGGCTTGGCAGAGGGAGGGCAAAGTAGAAACTTGGAGGCCTGCAAGGCAGGGGCTGCTCAGGCAGCAACGTTTGTGTGGCTTGCAGGGCGGCCCCGTGGACAGCGATGATGCGCGCAAAGCCACCTTCTCACACAGTAAACGAGAATGCAGTAATTCTCATTACAGAATCACTCTTCCCGTTATCCTGGTGTTTATTAAACAACTTTTTAAATGCACAGGCTTCCTTAGTTTGTTCAAAATGTGACTTGAATTATATCAGTTTGATTTACAAGCAGCCCTTCAGGAGCACAGAAAACACGCTGTGTTTGGACACCCTACCCAGACACGCCTGGCAGTGGTTGTATTTCCCATTAAATCTTCCTCTTAATTGAGAGTTTAGCTGCTTGGCCACACTTGCTGTAGTAAATCTCTAGATTACTGTGTTTTTTCCTACACATTTGGGGGAATACAGCTTTGTAGTTAAATTCGGAGACTCTGCTTTGGGACACCTGCTTTTTGTTTGTTTTTAAATACAACGTTTTATTTGTGAATAATTTTAGTTTTACGGAAAAGTTGCAAAGACAGTACAGAGGGTTCCCAGATACCCCTTACCTGGTTTTTACTATTGTTAACATCTCGCATTACTACGGTACATTTGTCAAAACTAAGAAACTAACATTGGGATGTCACTATTAACTAAACTTCAGACTTTGTTTGAATTTTGCCAGCAACTGCCTTTTGAAACCTTTGGAGGTGAACTTGATTCAGGGTGAAGGTTTGGCCTTCAAAAGGTTTAGAAGAGCTCTGTGTGCTTTGATATATGCATAGTTCTGTCAGTGTAAAGCCAGTGGCTTCTATCTTAGGATTTTGATGTATTTTCCTTTGAACATTTCTGTATGGTGCGAATATTTGCTAGAGCTTAACTCCTCTCATCCATGTGGCTTCATTTTAATTGATCACTTTTGTTAGTTTTAACTTTGCTACTGATAGGAAAGAATTGTTTTCTTGCATAAGAATAACTTGGAGTCTCTCAAATATTCCCTTTAAAAGAAATAATCATTTATTTATCAAAAATAAAAACGAAGCTAAATTTTATAAAGAAGTTCTCTCCTTTCCTTTCTTTTCCTCTTCTTGTTCATTTTTTGTTTTTATCAGGTCTTTAAAATATAAATATCTGCTTTTAGAAAAGACTGATTTTTTTCCTCGGTAAGTGTTTACTCAAGGACCAGCTATCAAGGAGTAATAAATGAAAGTAGAAATGAAAGAGACTTGGCCCAAGGTGATAGTGGATATAAATGGCCCTAGTGGGCCATAAAGCACTGTGACCAATTAGAGATTGACCTGACTTGGCTTGTGTGATAGAATCTTTGTGGATATTTATGAGATTTTTAGCCAAAGCCTACAGATAATGGCCTTTCTTAGAATTGCTTCCTTTCCCTCTAACTCCCCTTTAAAACTAAAGAAAAATAAACAAATAGCAAATATAGATATCATTTCCCTGCTGGTCTAAAGGTGCATTCCAAGTTAAGGACAATAGGTCAAGTTAGGGTTTATATTCCTCAGTGTTTCTGCCGTGGTCATATGGTAATGGATGAGGAAGTCTAGCTCTCACAAATCTTTTTGATAAGAAGTTTCAGCTACTTTTTTCCCCAGTTGTTTTGATGAGATCCTTTTTTGACATTGCAAGTTTGTTATCTTACAAGGAAGCAGGCAGCCTGGGATCCCCGTGAAGCCAGGGCGTTACCCTAAGAAGCAAGAAGAATTAAAATGGCGGCTCTGCCATCCTAAGTGTACGTGCTCCTCGTTCAGCCCAGAACTGAGATTTCCATGGGATGGTCACCTTGCTTAGGAATTCATTCTCCGTTTGGAGATGGAGAATGAAGTGTCCAAATTAAACAGAAATAAGAACAGATAAACAAGAAGTCCCTAAAACAAAAATGGGTGAACAGAGAGGGGACAGACTCCTGGAGGTGATTACAGTCGGAATTTCCTTTAATGCCGTATGGTATAGAAACACCGCATGTGGTCGCAGACGCTGCTTTCCACTGGAGGAAGCGTGGGGCTGAGAGACCTTGAGCCAACATCAGCCAGGCCAAGAGGGTGCCATCCACGGCGGGTGAGGATGTGAGGCAGGCAGTAAAGATCCCCAAAGAACATCTCTCCAGAGTGCTGGGACCTTGCAGACTCTGACACCAGACCCAGTCAGGGTGCTAATGAGGAAGGACAGGTGTCATCAGATCTTTAGGTGCCAGCAGGACCCCGGATACCATGCCAGTGCCTTCCCCGTCTGTTAATCGCTGGCAACCTGACTGGTAACTACGAAAGGGAGGAAAGACCTGCCCAGATTCCGCAAACTAGATTGATGGTTTCCGATCCCACGTGTAGAACTACACTCAGCTCTGGTCAGTTTCGTGTTATGTTTAAAGCACAAAACGCAACTTTCAGCTGCAAAATGAAATCTGGAGAACTATAGCCTTTGTCTTTCTAGCACACCCAAGAGTACACCTTGTGACAATCAAACAAATTGTATTTCACGTTTGTTTTCCATTGTCCCCTTAAAATGTATTCACTAAGAGTTCTCTCTGCCTCTGAGAGCAGCAGCATCCTGCTCCTCCTTGCGTATTAGAATCAACTGGGGAGTTTTAATTATTGCTTTATTTTATTGCATTTTTAATTCGTATTCCTGGGCCTACCTTGAGCAGTTCTGATTCAGTGGCCGCTGGATGAGTCTTCAGGGTTTTTTATTTTTAGATCCCCAGTGATTCCAAGGCGCAACCAAGGGTGAGAGTCACTGCTCAGGAGGAGAGCTCTGATTTGAGTACGATTTTTTTGCTCATTGTTGAATAACAGACAATCCTTTGGTCACTTTAAGTTGCAGACAAAATCTCAATTGAGAAATAACATGTCTGTCCCATCTGACTTAGAAATCACAACTCTAGCCATGATTTAACAGCCAGTCTCCTCTCCTCTCCAAGTTCAGGCTGACTGTATGGGGATGCGGGCTAGGGCTTGCTAATGAGGTGTCAGCCTCTCTGCAGCCCAGGTGGAAGGGGGGGCCAGATGGCAGAGAAGTGTGTTGCTGGTGGCTTTGGCTCTGGGGACCTGGGCATGTTCAATGCTGATTTATGGACCTTCTTTCCTGGATGCCTCTCTGCAGTACCCTCTCCCACAGTTCCCATGACATAAGCCCATGCATCTCGATTCCACCTGGTGGAAACCACCCCTTCCTCAGCACCTAGGAAGGCAGCTTTGTATTGTTGGGGTCCCTTTGCCCCTCCAGGGGGCCCTGTTGTCAAGTCCCCACACAGACTTTCTCCCAAGCTGCCTCCATCTGGCCTATGGGGATCACTCATGGTCCCTTGGTCTGACACCTCTGGGGGTACAGGTCGAACCCAAATGCCACCTGCCTTCTGCCACCACAGGTTGCTTTAGCCTTCTCTGGCAGGAGTCAGGCACTCGTCCTCCAAGCCTTCCACCTACAGGAAACTCAGTTCAAGTTCTCAGAGTGGTGCCCTGGCAGCCCCATAGTGGTGTGGAGGCAATGGCAACACTTCTCCCCAAAGAAACTTCTCTACAGGTCCCTCCTCGTTCTCTCCTCTCTGGGACCTCTTAACGTCTCAATGTGAATCAGATGTTTCAGAGGACATGGATCCAGTGCTCAGCCACTTCCTTTGTGAATTCTGCCTCTGAGTTTCTCACATTCACAGTGGTGTCGGTTACTCAGGCAGGAAGAGTCTGTTTAACATCCTGTTATACTAGACTTCTAGGATTTTGAAGACTATGTCAGAGCTCGTTGGAGGTATGAGAAACGGAGGGCGCTGGGCTACCCATTGTAGCGCGTTACAAAGCAGAGACAGTGTGGGTCCTGCTGCTTAGGAAGGTGGCAGGGCAAGGCTCGTGACTGGGGCGATAAAACACAGCCCTCCTCCATAGGAGAAAAGACTCCAACTACCCATAAAGTGATACAAGAGGGAGAAAGCCTTGGTCTTTCATTTCTTTCCCCTGGTTGCCCTCCTCCTGGCTGTAAGAGGTCAGCTTCTCATTCCCAGGGA